TAGGAATGTAAATTAGACTATTTAGTCTTAATTTACTTGTAGCAGACCCACCAGTGAAATAACCACCTGTTTACCAGTAACAGTAGTTATTTGTGTTCCTGCAGTTAGTGTGTAGAAAGTACAAGTTGTTGACTTAGATCAGTTTGGCACTTCTTCTGCTATGGCTGTAGTGAGGGTTAGAAAAACCAAATGAGGACAATAGACTGGTGCAGATAAGAAGAAGAGATGCATACAATGTGATAAGAAGAAGATATGCATGAGATGCCCCTGGCATTTTGGAGATTGGAGCATAACAAAGGAGATTGGACCTATGAATCAACTGACAGACCTCTTTGTACACAAATGGCACCGCAGTATAATCTTTAGCCTCCCAGAATCACCATATTACCAGGTTCAAATTACCGTTTTAGATGACAATAGAATAAGAAAATAGCTGATAACACTTAGATAACAAAATGAGAGCCTTTCTCTTGAAAAAATGATAGTTTATTGTGACTTCAAATAACCTTTAAGATGGATGGAATGGGAAGGTATTTGAATCGATTGTCGGAAAGTACTAGTTGTACAGGTGGTATCATTATCTTGGCTTATATGGCAAGCCTCTGAACAAAAAACTTTCCATGGTTGCTCGCTCACTTGAAAGGAACGGTTAAACCAGCAGGCAGACATATAAGAACGTAAAACCCCACATTGAGTCACTTACTGTGGGACATGAACAGTGCTGTGAGGGAGCAAAGATATATTGAGTGACTATTTTGAACATAGACTTACAATGTTACAATTGTTGAAGCCATCAACCGTATTAACCATGCATAATTCTTACAAACTACAACATTTTTTTACTTTGCAATGGTGACAAGATTGTATACATGTATCACTATTATGTAATTGTTTATTTTTCATATCAAACTTAGCTTATGATCTGATTAATAATGTAGCACAGTGGCTATTTGTTTGACTTTGTGACAGATATGGATGGCAGGTCTGATAAATCTCCATTAAGCTGTTAGAGCAGGGCATTTTGTCTGCGTTGTGATTACAGGGTAGCTGGAGCAACCGGTCCAAATTATATTGGAAGTCTGTAATCTGTCTTGCGCCTATGCACCTTTATTAGATATGGATGACCATTTGAAGGATAGTCAGAAGTATTAATACTTGTCTTTTTCAAATTTGGGAAGACAGGTTACAGTTTTGAAAATCCAATTAACTTTAAGCTTTGCCATTGATTTTGTTCATTGAACACATTTATTGTTTTATGGTTTTTAGGGAAATATTCAACACATGTGAGTGTGTGTAATGTCATGATTCTGACAGGTAATCTCTACATTATTGTAGATTCTGAAGAATTTCTGTCATGGATGCAGAGGTACAGGTACAGGAGGTATACAGCATCATTGGTATCAGAGAAATGTGACCTCATTTCATTCAGTTCAGTACCCTCTACCTGACAGAATCACGGTTAACTCCCTGGATATCTGATTATTCCAGACACTTAGTCCCCTGACCTGTTTGACATCCTAATCCTCCCCAAACACTGGGTGTGGACAATAGCCAGGGAAGGACGCGGTGGTGCCTCACCTTTGTGTCCAGGTGAAACAAGCCCCTCAGGAATGCAACTCACCTGTGACGGCTGACTTACACCTGGAGAGACACAATTATCAGCCAGCTTTTCATCTCTAAGAGAGCTTGAGGAGTACTGGTGGTATGTGTACCTGGTATCAGTGTGGTCGGCCTTTGATCTGAAGTGGTGTCAGAAACAGAAGAACTTGTCTCGTAGCTGCCACACACCTGTTAGGTGGATTGATATCTGACTGAATGGTGGTAATCATTGTAAAATACTAATGGCCGATTAGACTGGAAGTTGTCTTCGAATCTTCCATCTAGTTAGAAAGCATTTAAGGCTCACTTTCCCTTGTGGCTAGACTAGGCTATACGAAAAAGTTGCTGTTGGTCTTAAATGGAGTCCCATGAAGTCAGGAGCACCAAGAAGGTTAAATGGGAGAACAATGCAAGTTGAGCTAACTTGATGGCTGTGTATAAACCATCACAATCATTGTAGGAGGAGATGCAACTCTTAAGATTATAACTTCTCATTGTATTAGACAAATTAAACTTTTGTGACAAAATCATGTATTTACGAATTCCTTCAAAAGCATGTTACCAGGGACACCAAAGCGAACACACAATACCATTCAAATTGACCCATTGACTCTGCAATTAGGTGCATAGAAAGAGAAGCGCTGGGTGCATTCATGCCTTAAATCTGAGGTCAATCACAGAAATAACAAGATTTGTGATTGGATTACCTAGCGTTGTTGTCATTGACATAGTTGTGAAAAAATGACAGACTTTGACCTAGTTAGTCTTGTACAATAAAGGATAATAATCATAAAGGTATGTGTATAAATCCTTAGTGTGTACAGTAGGAAATCCTTAGTTCAGCCCTCAAGCACCATCCTTTAGATTCTCAATTCTTTAGGATTGTGTTTTGGCCAGGATGATACAAAACTCCTCTGGCTACCCCATTGTTTGTTATTGTTCTCAGCAGACATTCGATACCAGGACTTAGTTGCCTCTTCAAAACTAGCAAGGGTTTGAAGGAGGTTTTGAAATATCTGTTCCAGTTTTCTAATGTGCTTTGGAAGAACATTACCTGCTTTCAATAAGACAGATTCAGTTGAAAATGTTGTACATGTATGTTATTTTGTCAAATTGAGTACTGACCAGAAGTAATGCTGGCAATTTTTGTCATCTTGAAACCCCAATTGAGTCCTTTTAGAAGGTAGGATCTAAAATAACCACTTCAAAAGGCACCGAAGCAAAGAATGCCAGGCTGACCATTATGGTTTCTTGTTGACAAAACTGTGATGTATTCATTTCCTTAACCGACCTGAGCAGACTGGAATCTCTAGCTTGAATGTTGTGCACTGAACTCGGGGAACTACCTGTTTGGTAAGCTTGATCATGACCTGTTTGATGATAGTACAGTTGAAAGCATGAGGATGCTACAACAGAAAAGGCACTGTTTAAAATAAGGTCCGAGACCATTGATATACATGTGTACTGATTGAAAAGAACCGTGAGAAAAGGGTACAGTTGAGTTATGAATAACAAAGGCATGTAGTTTGCACCTTTTGTTTTTTATGAATGCTTGTATTTTGTCACAGTTTTTAAGAAGGTTATCTAGGGCATAATAGTTAAATGTACTGGGAACTATCACATGTCCAATCTTTAAGAGGGAGGAATACCAATTTACCAGGTACAAGGTCATCAGTTGCCTACTAGTATGTCAAGTACTAGTAGTTGTCTTTGCTATTGCAGTGGATTATGGGTACCTATAATTCAAATAATGCTGGCTTCTTAATTGAAGTTACTGTTTGGGCTCTTAATTTAATTTACAATAGTTTCTGTCATAAAATTTACATCCATAATAAACCGCATACCACTGATTCAGGATATACATGGAAAGACCCAGCTAGCCCATTGGTCTCTTAGTTTCCTTGTTATGTATGATAAGATAAGGATGCCATTATGCCAGGCTAATGAACACCTGTGTCAACCATTAGAATTATTGAGACTAGAATATAGAGAAAGGAAGAGAAAGAAATAAAGAGCAAAGGATAAAGGATACTGTCCAGTGTTCACAGATATTTTATTTGCTGTATTTTTTGATCTCTCGATTTGCTCTTGTTTTGGAAAAGTTCTGGGTTACTCACAATGTACCTTAGTCACCTACACAGGCACTTAGCTTGATGGTCATTGCTAGTGAACAGGTAATCTAGGATGCAGTACAAAGAAATTACTTATTGCTATAGCAGCTGACAAAACATTGGGTTCTCAAATGTTACTGCATTTTATCTGAGGGTTTGTAAACAGCTGCAGTATATACAATTTACTGTCTCTAGGATGAGGTTGTGATTAAAAGCAGAGGATAGCTATATAACTGTCTGCTTAGCAGTAGAGCCAGGTATAGTCATTTTGCAGCTGTTGGTATAAAGGATCTGAATTCAAAACAAGTAGTGCCTATACCGTATTATGCTCGAAACATCACAACTATTACAAAGCTCATTGCAGTGGCAGTGTTTCTAAGGCCATGGTGAGCAATTTTTATGAATGACATCTGTGTGTGCATTAATTTTTGCCAGATTCATAATAAAATTGCTCCCCTCTGGCAATGGTCAACATGACATAAAAGTATTAAAAATGGGTAGTCTTGAGTGTAGTTGTAGAAGTGAAACTGAATCGGTAGTTGTAAAAGTGACCTGACATAGTCTTTGATAGCCTAGAGTTAACATGTAGTTGTAGTGATACAAGGCCATATCTACTATCATCACTTCCCACACTTCCTGAATATAGGAATAAAAATAAGTCGGTGGTGGTTTTATGTTTTATCACTTTAATTTTTCTTACAATGTTTATGATCTCTATTTTGAAAATTGATCTTGTTTTGTTTTATGCCCATTTTTTTTCCACTCTCACATTTGATTTTTAGTCTTCAAAGGATGTCATACCTAAAATGAACTTGCTATATTGACCTAACATTGAGTTCAATGAAAGTTCAAGTTTTTGATCATAGCATTGGTTGTTTGGTCTCCCTGGGAAGTTATGACTACATTGTACACTGTCTGACAGGCCGTCTTTATCTGAACACTCCCTGTGGGGCCACTTCAAACAGGGCAAACAGACCTGGAGTGGTCTGATAGCTTGTCAACGACAACTGTTGAACCCGCATGTTGGGCCACATACAAACTGGTATAACAACAATTGTATTGTATTGATTATTAGTATTCTGTTTAATATGGAAGATACACACATTCAGTATTAGAATGATTTAGATTCATGCTAAAAGAAACCACAAATTTTCGAAAATGTTTAATATACCTGAATATCAGGACTTACAGGCACTGTCTTTTCGATACCAATGTGGGGAGTCTTCATAACATGGTTATGGCTGTATTAATGATTATATTAATATATCAGTTATTAATTGTTGGTTCCAGAGCCTCCTACAGCAGTCTAGGAACCAGGAACTGGCTGATGCTATCCAGACGTCCCTGGACCTGGCAGGTCCGCGTGCTAACGGCAGCGAGGAGTCCCGTCCCCACTCTCCCACACATGACTCCGACAGCGGCATAAGGTAGGACGGGTGTGGACCTTTTCATCAAGCTGCGGTAGTTGAGAATTGATGAAAATTAAGTATCGGTACAAGTGCAAGTTACAGATACAGTTCAAGAGTTTTCATCAGACTCATAAGATGTGTTCAAATTATCAACATGTCAGTGTTTGTTCCCTGCATGATGGCTAATGAAATTGCATTATGAAATCTTTGCAGCCACAGCCTGTCCATGTCTTCTTTGAAGACAAAGTCGCCCGTCATTGCCAGAGCTTTATCCCTTCTGGGTGAAACGTACGATCGGAGGAAAGAGGAGCTGACCCGTCCCATCCACAGAAGTCCTTCCTGGTCCAAACCTCATTCCTACAGCACAAACAGACCTCAGAACTCCATCTACAGGGCACAGTCCCATGAGTCTTTGCACAGGCCCCAGGATTCCTTGTTCAGGAGTCCCTCTCCCAGCAGACAGCAGTCCCAAGACTCTTTCATCTATGCCACACCCAGCGGGATGTCACCGGAAAAGGTATTACAGGACAGCTTGCAGGAGAGTGAGTCCAGGAGACTCAACCTGGTGGACAAGCTGCGGGAGGCCCAGGAGACTCTGCAGCTGCAGACGGAAAGGCTCACTGAGGCTGAAGGGAAGTTGAATGAGAGCAAGATGACTGTGGCTAACATGAAGTCTCACCAACAGGTAACTATCACATGTATGACTTATCATATCTCAAGCCATTTGTCATAGAACTGTGCTGCAATATCTTAATTGATAAGTCACTTTTTTAATGGTTTTCTGTAAACTTTTTTTAACAGACCGATTGTATGTAATGCATGTGATTGCTTGAGTAGACAACCTGGAGAATATAAGATTGCCTGAAACTAAACAAATGTTGACTGTAAAAATTTAAATAACAGAGAAAAAATTTTGATCTATTACTGACTTTTATTATATTTTACTTACCTGCAGCAACTGGAATTCCGAGTGAACACACTGGAGAAAGATAAGGCTGACCTGGAGGCGACACAGATTGAAGGTATACAGAGGAGGGACGAGCTCCATGACAGGTGTGTTTACAACTTCCCATCAGATTACAGCAGTTAAATGACCCATGGTCATTACTTATTCTTTTTTTAATGTAAGTAAATGATAAACACCTGACATGAGGCTGTCAACCACTGTTTGTTCCTTATTCCTTGTTTTATAGAATTGGGCAACTGGATGCAGAACTGCATAGTTTACAGGCTTCCTACAGCACCTTACAGGCAGAGTACAGACAGAGACAAGCCCTAGTGGACCAGACCAGTACTGCACTCAACATGATGGAACAGGAAAACACCAACTTTCAGAAGGTTAGGGAACATTAACAGGGATACTGATCTGACATCTTCTTACATGTAAGTTAAAAACAACAGTTAAAATAAAAGAAATATTGTCTGGTACATGTACATGTAATACAGGAAGGATTATTCACTAAAGGTATTCTCTTTAGTGATGAAAATGTTCACAGTAATGAATAAATCAGAAATTCATGAAAGTATTCCATATCTTTGATTTGTTGTTTGAACATGTTTTCTACCTCCACCAGACCAAAGAGACTATGGGCCGTGAGATGACTGCCCTGAAGGAGTCCCTCCAGCTGGCCAAGCTGCGGGCAGACAAGCTGGAGGCAGAGAAACAAGTCTCACAGCAGGAGGCCAACAATCTTAGGGAGGTCGGAAACATTTCTTACCATCATCTTTTGTTACCACTACTTTGGTGTGAATTTGCTCCAAATGTATGACAATTAGATTAGATTTTGTATTGTAATATATTATATAATGTAGCTACACATGATGTGTTCACAGCTAAAAGACTTGGTTACTAACAGCATTGGACTATTCAGCTTTGTCCCATAGCTATCAGCAATGATATCCAGTCATCTAATTTGATAATTGATATCCCTATCTTCCTTCGCACCACTCTAAGCTAAGATAGCACACTTGAACTCTTCTTACAGAAACAGCAGGCCTTGATCACACAGAACAGCGAGGTTACCCAGAAGTTAGCAGAAGTCACCACGTCGTATGCACACCTGAAGGATGACTGGTCCAACATCGGAGATGAGTTCAGCAGGGTCAAACAGGTGAGGAGACTTAGGAATCTTCACTCCTTAAAAGCAACTCAAGTCAGTGAATGGCATTTGTATGCATAACATAGTAATATTGTGATATTATGTGTCTGAGTTAATTTTTTTGGGGGAAATGATTGAACATGAACACAGAGATGTAGACTTTAGGACTTGAAATACCCGGTATGTAAAATGGATAAAGCCATTATAATAGTATCTTTATTGGCAACAGAATTCACTTTGTAAAGATACTAGTAGATACAATGGAGTTTTTGTGACCTACAGGAGAGAGACAGTTTGTTCAGCAGGACATCCAGACTGGAGGATGTCCTGGCTGATGCCAAGTCCAAACTGGCCAGCGTGACGGCAGAGAAAGACAGACTGTTCCAGGAGAAGATTGACCTTCATCAGAAGGTGCAGAAAATGACAGTGGACAAGGAACAGCTCATGAAGGTCAGAAGACCAGCGGAGTCCAATACGTCAATGTTACTTTGTGTATCTTTATTTTTGTATATCCCACAAAGTACATATTGTTGCAACTTAATAAAAAAACAACATGAAATTTTACCTGTCCAATTTCTGGGTCGTTCATCTCACTGGGATTAGCAAGAAACTTTGTTGTCATGATGTTTCCTTCAGGCCAAGCACTCCGTGGAAGAACAGTGCACAGAACTCCATGTGGACCTGGCACAGGCCAAACTGTCCGCAGACAAGAACAACCAGGAGAAAGTCCGGGTAGAACAGGAGCTCAATGCTGTGAAGAAGGTAAAATCTGTGGTTGTTTGTATTACTTTGGGTGTTGTTTCTTTTTTCTAAGGTTAATTGTAGTGTCTACACTACTGTTCATTTCATCCTGACATAACCTATTTGTAATAAGTGTGTTTTAGAAAGGTGATAAAAATATAATGTTGGGCACAAAGGTAATCCAAATCTATTTTCAGTCATATGATCTGTGTCATATGAAGCCTCAAAAGTTCATTCTCATTGACCTTTCTTAAATTTGCCTTGTGTGCACTTGGTAATGAAGTATTTGAAACAACTCTTACTTAGTCTTTACATCAGAGGACCACAAATAAAAAAGATTGTAAAATGATTCCTGACCCTTTTAGGTGAGTGAAGACCTGTCCAGTGAGCTGTCTATGGTCAAACACAACTTGGAGAAGGCACAAGAGCTTAACAAACAGCTGGAGTCCAGCAAACGTCTGGCAGCACAACAGCAGTTAATGTTGGAGGGGGAGCTAAAGAGAGTCACACAGGACAAAGACCTATTAAACAAGGTATGTAGTGCAAAACAACAGTTGATGGACTGCCTGGGGATCCTCCAGCACGTGCATTATCTTAAGATATTTTCTCGTGCTTTGTTTCGATTTGTTGTGTCTTCTAGGTCCAAGATGCTACCGGTATTTTCTTCTTTGATGCCAGCTCCATTTTTCTGCTGAATTACTGAGTCTTTTATGATTATTGTAATTTATGGTGTTTCTTTCCTGTATATTTCATTGTAGTCCTTTGAGAGGTTGAAGAAGGAGCAGGAGGCAGACAGAGAGAGGTGGGATGAGCAGCAAAGGAACCTCAGGGTAAGTGAACAGAATCAGTACAATCTGTCAAAAGAAAGGATTACTGTGCCTGTGTCTTTTTATCTGAAGAAAATACTCCACACACTCAAATTTTGATTTCACATTTTTGCATGGACATGTGATCTTCTTGGCTTTAACTACTTCTCTTTGGTAGAAGAGTTAATGTATGTACCTGTTTTGTGTAGGAAACATTGCAGGAGCTGAGAGACAACAAACAACAGCTGGATACAAGAACAAGAGAGCTGGAAAAGGTGGGTGTCATGCATTGCAACAGAGTACCATAATCTTAGAATAGTAACAGTAAACAAAGCAGTATACAGTAATTAAGCTAGAGTAGTCTTGGGCCAACATGTATGTTGGTATGTATGAATGTATACAAGTTAGCATTTTTTTTATTCAGAAACTGTCCCTTGCAAATGAAGAGCACCAGTACACCATGGGTCAGATCCAGGCAGAGTGTGCGGAGTGGAGAGACACGTGCGAGCGTCTGACGGGCATGTTGGAGAGGAAGGAGGATGAGGCACGAAATCTACAGCAGAAGTTACAGGACATACAGGAGAAGGTGGGGCTGTGGGACTGGTTATGGTTGTATGTTTTAGGCTGCTGCAGTGCTCCACTGTGTTGCTAGATGACACCTATGAACCATTACTGCCAGTAGGAAATAAGACTAAAGGTGCAAATATGTCACACTAATAACACCTTGTGTGTCTGTCCCTGGTACTGAAAACCAAATTGCACTTGCCATTAGTGCTTTAAGGCATTCCATTGCAAGTCCTTGTTACAAACCATGCTATCTAAGAAGTAGTACTAACGTGGGGTACTATTCGTTAGTGACCCTTGGTGATCCTTGTTTCAGAACTCTGCCCTCCGAATGGAACAGCAGTTGAGGACCATGAAGGAGGCGGAGCTAACTGAAGCCCAGCAGGAGATTGACAGGTGAGAGATGATGGGAACAAGTTACAGACATGGCGGCATGACAGCAGTCTAGCATTAAGAAAGTGGACATTCATTTTCCATACTACAATAATTGTTTTTGTAATTGTTGGATAGCCAAAAAAACTAACATGAAACTCCTGTGTTGTGTTGTGAAGGCTGGGTGAAGAGAAGCAGAGGCTACAGCAGGAAAATGTAGAGAACCAGCAGGTCATCAGGCTCCTGGAGATGCAGAAAAACATCCTCACTAAGGTAAACACCACTATGGCACTAAGTCACAGGCCATGCCTAGTCCTTAATCTAGCATTATTTTTCTTTTTAATTTCTGTAT